TTTCTTGAAAGATGATGTCTAGGCTACTTTTTTGATCATGGCTTTCAGGTAGTTCAATAATTCTTAAATTATCTCTCCTCAATCTATTTTCCAGGTCAGTTGTTTTTTCAATAAGATATTTCACATTTTCTTCCATTTTTGCATACCTTTGATTTTGTTTTATTGTTTCTTGATATCTCATGGAGTCATTAGCTTCCATTTGCCAAATTCTAATTAAATAGTCAAGGAATTATTTTTTTAGTGAGCTTTTGTACCTCCTTCTCCATTTGGCCAATTCTATGTTTTAAGGAGTTCTTTCCTTTAGTGAATTTTTGTACATCTTTTCCCATGTGGTCAATACTGATTTTTAAGTTCTTCTCTTCACTGGATTTTTGTGCCTCTTTTACCACTTTGCCTATTCTGTTTTTAAAGTGATATTTTCTTCAGTTTTTTTTGTGCTTCCCTTACCAAGCTGTTAACTTTTTTCAAGGTTTTCCTGCATCACTCTCATTTCTTTTCCCATTTTATTCTCTGAGTTTTTAAATCGTTTTTGAGCTCTTCCAGGATTTTGGGGGCCTGAAAGCAATTCACATTTTCTCTGAGGCTTTGGATATAGCAGTTTTGACTTTGTTTTCTTCTGAGTTCATATTTTGCTCTTTGTCAGATTCTTTTTTTGTTGTTGTTTGCTCATCTTCCCAGCAGCTAGTTGTGTGGTGGTGGTGGTGGTGGTGTATATAAGTTTTCAGTTCTTCCAAGGTGATATGATCTAAGGAGAAGTGTGTTTACTACTCTCCTGGCCTGTGAGCAACCACAAGCACTATTTTCCATTCTGGAACTATGACCAGAATTCCCCCCATATCCTCAAGCTCTAGTGTGCTACTGCTTCTCCTCACTCTGCATATGGACAATGTGGCACAGATCTGTGTATGAACAATGTAACACAGTCTTATATCTAGGACCAGCAAAGAGATCCCTGTAATCTCCTTCTGACCAGTTGTCTGATCCCCTTACACTCCATGGGTTAAGAGCTCTGGAGGCTGCCACTGACTGAGTCTCCCCCAAGGCCTACTGTGGATATGCTGGGGAATAGCCTTTGTTGGTACAGCCTGTGCTGGACTGCACTCCATTTTCACCTCAGTGTGACTGACCTTTCCTGATGACCTTCTAAGTTGTCTTGGGCTGGAGAATTCTTTCACCCAGTCCTTTTGTGAGTTCTACCATTCCAGAATTTGTTTTGAGGGATTATTTTTTATATTAATTTATTTTAGTTTTCAACATTTACTTCCATAAGATTTTGAGTTTTAAATTTTCTCCCCTTCCTCCTCCCCAAGACAGCATGCAATGTGATATAGGCTCTACATAAACATTCATATTAAACATATTTTAACATTAGTTATGTTGTAAAGAAGAATTAGAACCACTGGGAAGAACCACAAGAAGAAACAACAACAAAAAAGAAAGCAAATAGTATGCTTCCATCTGCATTCAGACTCCATAGTTCTTTCTTGGGATGTGGACAGCATTTTCCATCATGAGTCTTTTGGAGTTGTCTTAGATCCTTGCATTGCTGAGAAAAGGCAAGCCTATCAAAGTTAGTCGTCACACAATGTGCTATTACTGTGTACAACGTTCTTCTGGTTCTGTTTGCTTCACTCAGCATCAGTTCATATAAGTCTTCTCAGGTTTTTCTGAGGTTTACCTGCTCATCATCTCTTATTCTTATTCCATTACATTCATATACCACTTGTTCAGTCATTCTCCAGTTGATGGGCATCCCCTCAATTTCCAATTCTTTGCCACCACAAAAAAAGCAGCTAAAAATAGTTTTGTTCATGTGGGTCCTTTTCCTATTTTTATGGTCAATGAATAATTAGCTTTTTAGAAATATACAAGTTCAGATGACTAGATCTAATTATTCATAGCTGATCTAAATGTGAAGAGTGGCAGGACTTCTAACCAAAATTAAAATTCTTGATGCTTCATTTAAAAAAATTTAATGTATATAAAACTCTATTAAGATGAATTTATTTCTTTTAATTTTATTCTGTATTGTTAAAGCTTGTTAAATTGCATAATTTGTTATTTTAATATTCACTTAACTAACTACATACCATTTTAAAAACATACAACTTAAAAGAGCTTTCTGTATTCCTATTTAAATAAGCCTACAGAATGCATGTTAGAGGTCTGAAAAGCAAGGTTGGACTCTGCATTCATCTTGGACTCTAGACTCTACTGGAGTAAGTTTCCTCTATAAACCAAATTTAAACAAATAGTGCTAGAAAAAGAAAGTCACAATTCAAAGACTCATGATATCTCAAACCCACCAATACACTGGCTTGCAAATTACTTGGGACAAAGTAATTAAATTTATGGACATACTACAAATAAACATTGCAACATTTTACATTCTTGTTCAATGTCATTTTATAGGAATAATTTGCTTTTTATAGCAGTAAACTTTTACAGCAATAATTTAAATGATTTGCTACTGAAATCACAAGATTTTGACAAATATTCTTTAATTCCTTACCAAGAAATCACTTTTGTACATTAGATATTAAGCATACCTCTGACAATCCATTTTTCCAAGTCTAAGCTTAATTATAGTTCACAGTCTTTCAATGGTGTTTAAATCAGGCAAGTTCCCAATTCATGGACGCATGTTTACCTCCATCTCTTAGATACATTTCCTGACCTTTTGTGACAGGTGGCATTGCTGAGTTGCAGTATTCTATCTCCAAAAGGGAATTTCTATAATTTCATAACAATTCTGCTCTTCAGTGTATCAGTATATGTATCACAGTTCACCATTCCCTCCATGGGAATAAAACTGGAAATACCACAATATAAACAAACAACAAAAAAAATCAAACCCCAAACATATTTTGGGGGCAGAGGTTTGATAGTTTAATGAAAATACCCGGATCCTAAGGCTTACCTGGATTTCTTCTGACAACTGTTTTGTTCTAAAGCTTTAATTCAAAAGTTCCATCTGTACAATTTATCTTTTTCCAATCTTCATGGCTCCAGTTTTTATGTTCTCTTGTCCATGACAAATATTTGTTCTTCATTGGAATGGTTAACAGCTTTTAAAAAAAAATTTTTCTTTTTTTCAAACCGATCTTCTTGATGTTCACCTGACTACAAGAAGTTCATACCACTCTGGAGAGGAATCAATAACAATCCTTTCAGGAGCCAAGTTCCTCTGAAGGAAGCTCTGCTTATTTTCTGAGGATCGATCAGGCTATTCTGCAGCAATAGTTTGTCAATTTTTGGTGGTCTTTTTCATTTTTGGCCACATTTTACTTTGTGCTGTGGTACAACTGGTCATACTTCATTGTGGACTTGAATGATCCTTGAAAAGTTTGATTTTTCAATACTAACAGCTGCTGCTCCATTTCTAACAGTCAGTGAAGTGTGCTATTGAAGAGGTAAAATTTTTACACATTTCCTGGCAGTAATAGTGATCCTCAAAACCCACAGAATTTAAAACATAACAAAAGAGAACAATAAGACATATGCATATGGTATGAAATCTGGAAACTAACCTATAGAGAACTAAGTAAAAGTCAGGAACCCAACTCAATTCATTTTCAATTGGTCATGGTCAGACATGCAGAGTCAGACTTGTGTCAAGCACACCCACATGATAATTACAGTCACAAAATGAAAACATAAAATTACTCTATGAACCAAATAACACACTACTGTAGAAACAGAATAAGATATTTTCTCTGGCAAACCCAGGAACATCCAACTTTCCCTGGGTCTCAAATAAATATCGTAGTTCACTTTGTTTTTCACTCATTATAACCTCTCTGAAAAAGAAGAACTCTCCTGGTTGGGACAATATCAATAGATTTTCTTTTCTTTTATTTTTTGCATTAGACTATATGACCAAAGTCCTCTTCTCTCTCTTCTCTCTCTCTCTCTCTCTCTCTCTCTCTCTCTCTCTCTCTCTCTCTCTCTCACACACACACACACACACACAATCATTTTCCCTTACCTTTTTTTTTTCCATACTAGGACCAAATCACCTTTAATCACTTCTGCCTTTATTGCTTTTTGAGTTAACTGGAAATATTAAGTTAAAGAACACTTTAAGCATATTTTTCATTACTCTCTATGTCCGAAATTAACTGTGATAAATGTGCCTAAGAGACAAGTGAATAGCAAAAGGTCAAAATGTCTCTGACCTATAACTCCAGCTGAGTTGTGTATTACAAATTTAAAATCCTATCATCAAACAGTGTGAGATGACCAGTGCTACAAATAAATTAATATAGGAGAAAGTAGGAGGGAAAAGAATAAGAAGTCTCTTAAGAGGCAGGAAAATTGAGCTTGGTAAGCACAGGACCAGCTCTAAGTTACTAATCTCTTACCATCACCTCCTTCAGGATTTCTTTTGCAATTTGGAATTGTGCCTGAGTGGAACACACAGATCTCAAACTGCTGAAGAATTTTCTAACATCAATTACTAGTAACAAAAGTATGTTGATGTTTCTTATTTTACCTTACTTTTCTGTTACTTAATAATGATATTACAAATCACTTTTTTATGTATCAAAAGGTAATTTATGGATAGTTTCCATAATTTAACAATTTCAAAGGAAGAATGAAAAAAAGTACTCTTAAAAATAGCTGAATATGTACATTTCCCTCCCTTCCCCCAACCCAATTTCTGAAACAGAATAAAAATCTCCCTGCCCCACTCCCTCCTCATGTGTGCTTTCTGGTCACAGTTGCCTGGGCTGTATTCTTTTTAATGTTCTTACTATCATATTTCAGTGAATATCTATCTACAGATTCATTAACTTTTTTGAGACAAATCATAGGCAACCTAATCTTCTGATTCCCATGAAAGACTCACTCTTAAGATACGATTGCAGCTGCCCCTCATTGCCAGTTACTGTATGATACACATGCCTTAAAATTCTGTAATCAGTATCCACCAGGTGCCATATCGCATTCAGCACACCACAGTCAGTCAATACAGACATCCCCAAACACACCAAGGCTGGGTTTGTCAAATGTTTTATTGAGTGTAGACATCTGGAGTACTGTAAAACATGCATTATCTGTAGATTCAAAAAGGAGCAAGCCACATTGTCCTCACTGTCAAATGTGTCAGGTTTGGCATACATGATGGAGATTAATGAAGTATCATGAGAGTAATATGGTTCCTGAAAAGCTTCTACAATTTGGAAGAGGGTCTTAATCATTTGAAAAGCAAAGCTGTTCACATTTAGTAAACTTGCATGTTCACTGGAGGTACCATATTTTAATTTTAAACAAGTAAGAGTGATTTCATTTGGAGAAAGATTTTTTTTTCCCCTAAGTGAATTTGTGTTGTTGTTTTTCAATTATTTTTACCAAAATAAAAATTCATATGACTCTTTGAAATAGCATTGTTTATTTCTGAGCAATGAGCAATATTTAAAATTCATTTCTTCTTAGGTTGTTGAGGTGTATTAAATTTAAAGAAGATAATATCTCCATCTTCAACTATGTAATTTCTACCTTGTTGTCTGTATTTCCCAGCAGCCTGCAAAAAGGAAGAAATGAAGGAAGTTGGTTATGTTACATTTAAGCATATATAGCTGTGTGTATGTTGGGGGGTGGAGAGTCCAATATGCAAAAAGTATTATTTAAATAGGGAAAAAAATAAAGGCACACAAGCTCAACATGAGTTGGATAGAAGCAAAGACTTCCTGATTTGGGCAGAACTCGATTTTACATACATACATACATAATCATAATGTATTCTCCACTAAATTGGTGGTACATAAATGTAATTATGCCAATATCATTAAGTTTCATTACATGCTGTTTATGGTACGTTTCTGATGTGTCTGCAAACATCCAGCAAGTCACTAGAACAAAATGGATCAAACTAAGCATAAGAATATTCATAAAACTAGTTTTAAACTGTCTTATTTGCTAACAAATGTCTTTAGTGACAATAGGGGCAGCAAACTGAAGATTTACTATGGAGAAGAGCATCATCAATATGAGTGTGACGTACACACTCACTAACTTCTGGCACTTTAGTCTTTATTCTCTCCTCCAAAGCATTTCCTTATTAGAACAGTGACAACAGTATCTGTTCTAAAGCTGCGCTGTAGTATCAGGATTCCACCATGAGGAAGATTCTGACTAATTACTAGCTCTAGTTACAACCGAATCTAACAGGTTGCAGCGAAAAATAGACACATTTCTTCCACTATAAACTGTTCTGCAGGGCAAATGATTCCACCTGCTGGTACGCAGAGATCCAGATGTGCAGTCCTTCTGTAGTTCCCACACAAATGGCAGCTTTAACTCCAGGACAGTGAAAGTTATGCGCCATAGTGTACCTCTCACATAAAAGGAACTCCACAATAAATGAATTCAGTCTTCGAAGCAAATGATCTGGTCCCATATGTTCTCATCATCATCAATTAAAAAAATAAGAATTTTTACTTTGAGAATAAATTCTAAGTATTTTCCTCTGTTGGAATTTCTTGAGGACATAGAACTTTTGCCCCACAACAGCTGAATAGATCAATAACAACGTACAAAGTTAAATATAATTAGACTAACTGGTATTGTAAACACTATCAAAAAACCACGCTATCTAGGATTAAAAATACATTAAATAACTGAATCCAAGTAAGTATAATATATACAGATGGACAGCATTTACACAATGAAATATAAGATGGTCTCATAAATATAATGGAGCTTTAAAAATAAGTTTATTTTAAATAAGCTACCTCATATTTATGCTTTGAAAAGGACAAAGATATATAATACGACAGTTTCAGTAAAGATCTGTAATTTATTCTAGGCTATGCACTACTTATTTCCAGAGCCCACAGCCCCACCACTCTAAAACAGTATAATGTCCTTTAATCAAATATATTTTGACATACGACATACTAATATAAGTTTATGTACTTTGTTACCACTCAAGTTTACAATTAATTAAAAGTGACAGTGTTCCTTTAAATTCTCTAGAGACCATTTAATCCATTTCCACTGCTATCAGAAACACTGGTTGAAAAAAATCAATACCCATTTGTGAATCTCGAGTATGTATTAAACAAGACACGTCTAACCAGTTCATTTGCACTTGAAAGCAGCCATCTGTAGAAGCCAGCTTTGCCTAAGCAGATATGATTGCTAATAATGTGATATCCCTGTAGACTACAAAGCCCACACAGAGCTATTCAGTATATAGTTCACAGCACTGGCATTAAATTAGTTATGCTGTACTGGTGCTAGAAACACACACACACACACACACACACACACACACACACACACACACACACTCTCTCTCTCTCTCCTCTCATAAACTTAAAACTGATCAACTTGATAACAGACAAGGAAGTCTTATGAATGCCATATCTCAGCTAAATTTGAAAATTTATTTCTGAAGTTTAAAAGCAATGAGACATTTAAATGTTCAGGGCCTGAAAGCCAAAATCAACCTTTTGCAACTTATAATTAAAAACAATCTATTTAAATACTGGACATTTTCTAAAAGCAGGAAATAGTTTACTTACCATTAAATTTTTTCCTCTGTTTTCTCAAAGGAAATACTCACATTCTATAAACCTTTCAAAGTTTATTATAACCCAGGCATCTATTAAGGGTTGTCTTGTGGTATAATTGGCTTACTATGTAAGAGTAGATAAAAGAAGGGGCTGATTTCTCAATTTTAGTAACAGAAAATATTTGAATTAAATTTAATAAAGAGAAAGAATCTTCATTTTCTCTTTACTATTTCATGAAATTATACATCCTAAAATGACTGAATACCTAAACAGATCCTTAGATTTCAAGGACAGCTTGTATTAATGGGATAAAACTTGTATCTATGGTTATGCATATAGAGAAGACACTTTAAAAAACTTGTGATTCCCTAATTGCAACTCCTTCCTTTTTAAATGCTTCTCTTTCCACATTGAATCACTTATCTTAAGTCTTTTCCCCCAACTTCCCAGGATTCAAACAGCTGTGTCAAAGTCCTGCTGCTAAGTATGTATGATCTTTCCTATGATACCACTGAGAACAAATTGAAATTAAAATTAATTTTGTTTTTTTGCATTCTTTCCTTACTATGAATGTTAAACACAGGATGGTGCATTTAAAATTAGGTGTCTTAAAGTGCTAAATTAAGGAAATTCAAGGAAATTTTCTTCAACCTCAGTTGAATCAGATGGCATATTTACACTTTAGATATGGAACAACCATGGGTTGCTTACATGAAATAGATTTGGCATGTTTTTACTAACCAAAACTAGGAGGATATAATAGTAGTACTACAAAACACGCCACTCATTTTTACATCTATTACGCACATACAATTTTACTTCATTTTTAGTAACTATAATTGAAATTAAATTTATTAGTCCAAAGAAAAAAAGCACAATTTTGGGCATCTAATCGGTCCCTGCCCTCTAGTGTTGAGAAAGTAGAAACAATTCCCAGTGATATATTTTTTTTAAAGACCCAACTACAAAGTTTCAGCAAGAACAAAGTTTTGTTTAATTAAATTTCAACCCATTTCCTTAAATTTGTAATGGATGTTTACTTCAGCTTTATTAAAAGGCACTGTATCTCCCACACGTAGTACTCTAATATAGGGATGCCACTTTTACTTCAAATACTAAACTCTAACTATGGTTTTTCATTAATTAGCATATAGAGAAAAATCAAATTCTTTGAAATTATGTAAAATTCTTTCACTTTTAGGATCTTTGCTCTTCATTCGGAAAATAGAATCTTTAAAATCGCTGAAAATAATTGGTATGTTACTTTCATTAGCTAAAAGCATAGGAAAAAACAGCTCTTTTACCAGCTGATGTTTAGTCAATATTAGATATCTGATAATCTTATTATAAAACCACAGATTTTTCCAAGTAAAAAAGAAACTATAAACACAATATATGTAAGATAACTACAATAGCTTTTATCATGTAAACTTTCATATTTAAAAAAACCCAGGAAAACTGTAAAAATGAAAAACAATCTCTTACCTTGACAGCATTTTCTGAGCCTTCCTCTTTAAAATCTTCATATTTCATTACTTCAGCCATAATAAATCCCTTTTCAAAATCGGTGTGAATCTTTCCTGCTGCCTGAGGAGCCTTCGTCCCTTTCTGTCAAAAGAAAGACCAGAGAAAATTAATTGCGTTTAAGACTGATTTCAAGAGTAAAATTTCTCTTCTCAGATATGTGAGTGTTCCATTAGAACTTAGTTTCATACCAGTTAAAATGTCAGGCATATAACTGGTAATTTTGCAATAGTCGGGCATATAGATAACTGACTTTTAGAACCAATAAATCAGCTGATACTAAAGAAATGCAGCTTTGTTTTTTCCCTAATGGCTATCCACAGTAATATTGATTTTAGATGTGAAGATTCTTTCTGTTGTAGGTTTCATTTCGATTTTCCATTCTTCACCATTTAAAAAAGAAGATATAAAGATTTTTAAGTAATTTTCAAGCTGAATTATCAAAGGCTTTAAAAAAGTTAAAAATAAATATCCTCTGGATTTCTACTAGTTTATAAAATATATAAAAATCAATAAATGTAATATAACATTCTAGACATGTCAAGCTTATAGAATCTCCCAAATACTCTAAGTATTATTTGAAAGTCTAAGAAAAAAGTGATAGATTTTAAATAATAGATTTAATGAGTACAGCCTACATGTATAGAACCATTGTTAAAGAACATTCTAAGTTTTGTAGAAAAAGAAGAATGCCTTCTAATTGTCCCATGTGTTAAATTACAAGGACATACATTCAAGGCACATACAACCATGGAAAGAAATTTGAGAAATAATGGTAACCTAAAGGCTGCTTAATAAAGCATGTTAAAGTGGTAAGGAGTCTGACACTGTAAAGCACAGTTTTTACAATAAAAGATGTATTAGGTTAATATGGCTACTCACTGATGCTTACCTGACTAAATATCTTAGCACATTAAATCAAGGATACTTACAATCAGTCTTAGATAAACCACCTTTCATATTTTTGAGCAAAGAGCAAAGCTTATCTTTAATTGAACATACTTAAGTTTGAAAGTTATATGGTATTAAAAAAATAAACAAACTCTGGCAATGTGCTTACCAACATAAATTTGCTTTGACACTATTTGGGGAATCTATATAAAAGGACCTTGGTTAGAAGTCAATCACACATTTTTTAAAAGGGGAGATGAGATAAAGGAAAAGTGAAGCTCATATTCAAACAAAACATTTGACACATCGAATTGCCTACATGTTTCTATCCATATTAAATCAGAACAAAATGTAACTGAATAAATTACAGTAGTTGCTGAAAACAGGAATGATTTGAATTAAATCAAAGCAATGCTGAAATTCACCATGTAGCAGGAAAATAAATGCAAGAAGTAGAATAAAAGACTGAATAACATATTCCCCATCTCAAAAAGTTCCAGTATTATTTTCATATTCTTTAATGCGCCATTTAGAACTATGTACATTTCAAAATATTTTTCAGTACTAACCACTATATTACAATATATTTACATTTAAAAGCAAACCATTACGGTTCAGCTCTTATTGTCCTCTGGGAATAAATTAGTCATTCTCTATGGTTGTAATCAGTATACATCAATATTTAAAACACATATTAAATTTTTCAAGTAACTGGATAGACCATACGAAATTACAAAAATAAACTCTAGTTCTATGAATTCAAATCAAGAGAGACATGAATTATTACACACTGACTTTAGGTTGTTGAGCCCAACTGTGTATCTATGAAGAGTATAATGATGTTATATTGCTTTTATAGCTGAAAATGTAATCCGAGCAAAGCAAAGGAGGAAAGAACCACCCGCAACCCAAACAAACTTAGGCGAATACAAAATGAAAAGCAACATCAATTTCACTGCAGACAAACCCAGTCACACAGATTAAGCAAGCACAATACTGGTACGTCTTATCTCTGACCACAGGAGGAGGGTAGACAGATTCTACAGGATGAAGAAATTCAGACTATGTAATAGGCAGAATCAATTGTTACCTGCCTCAATCAATGCAGCTCCACTTTCACTGTTCAGCAGCTCACAAATAATTAAAGTTATCCTGGACAAAAACCTCATCTGTAATGACTAGCTAACCGCCACCATGACAAACTTCAAAGTCAGTGATATCAATCTGAATTCAATAGTGTGGAACTGGATATAGCTGATGAATAAGTATGAATCTTACCCTGATGGTCCATGCACGTACTTCATCTGGGCCTGCAGTGAAAAAGTATTCTAGTTGGAGTGCTGCATAGCCAGCCTTAATGATCTTTGGCAAAGCACTGAAATAAAATGAAACAAATTCATTCAACATACACACACACATATACACGAATACACATACAGTATATGTGGAACATGGTCACATAGTATTTTTTTTTAATTTAAAGCAGAAAAGTTTCTGCACATTTGAAAACTGCCACATCTTCTTCAAAATATAGTTAAATACATTTGGAAAGAATACTGTTTTTGAACCTCTTTAATACTGGTACCATCCTAAAGATACCACTTTGAACTATTTACTCTAAAATTTAAAAAACACTTTAGATATATCTATCATGTGGTTATTTTGGCCCAGTATAAATTATTTTCAGGACATCAGGTCACGAAAGCAAAATTATTTGACTGAAATTCAATGTTTAAACAATTTATTACTGTTATTCAGAAAAATTATGGCAAATGATTCAAGCCCCTTCTCCCCACACCTCTTTTCTCCTCCCCCTAGCACCCCCCCCACCCCAGGCCTGAATATGACGAAAGAGTTTTGGTGATCATTCCTTCTCAAAAATATACATAACTAATACCTATGTTATAATTAAAACACTGTACAGAGATGACAGATGACAGTTAAAAACTTAATTTAAAATAAATCTTTTCACTCTGTCTCATGGTAAAGAAAGGAGAAGATTCCCTCTTTATAATGGTAATTACTCTGTCATTTATTATTCTATCAGCGCAAGCAATTAAATTACTGCAAGGAAATAGTTGATAATAAAGTGTAGGGAAAATGAATGCTAATTAACCTTTGTGTCATGTTCTCTTCCAGATACTTCTGTTTCTCCTCAGCACTCATTTCTTGCAACTTGAGTTCCAAGGCCCCACTAAAAGGAATGACCAAGGCACCTGGGTCATGCTTGTCTACCCACTCTTTAATTTTTATCAACCTGTAGACAAAAAAGGGCACAACATTATCTTGTAGTGCATGCATGACTGTACCACATTCATTATTATCAAGTAGCACATACATATTCATAAGAATTGCACGGTTTTATGATGCCATCTTTTTGTGTATAGCTTTCCAAGGTCAAGGCATTAACAGGCAGCAATTGCTTCAGGTGTACTCCATTAATATTTTACTGCTACCTAGTTTTATTTTAGCATAAATTCTGCATGAAATATTAGAAAAATATTTTTAAAACTTTCTTCTTCTGTTAATGCTAAATTTGTACCCTACAAACTGTACCCCAGAATGTCACCTCTCATATAACCTTAAAAAATAAAGAAAAACTTATGGCTGTTTAAAGGGATATGAAGATCATCGATAGGGGATACAAAGGTAAAATTTTATTTGTTTAGGAGAAGCACTTAAAAACGCCTTCAGAATTCTGGAGATAGCACGACAGAGTGTTCATATTACAACTCTACCCATAGAGTATGTGTGTTCCTTTAATTCAAAACAACAAAAAACAGAATTGGCATTGTTTCTATAGGTGTTTTTCATGGGAAAGATTAACATGATCAGAAATTTACATTTACCAATTACCAAATCATCCTTATGAACTCCAATTCTAAAGATGTTTAATTAGCACAACTATGTGTAAAGTTATTTGGATGTTCAAAGCCAACAATATTTTAAGAAACAGATAATGAATTCTTTACCTAGAAAGAACTAGAAGTTTTATGTCTTAATGTGAAATATTTTTAGAATCAATATTGAGGGCCTAAGTGAGAGGAGGAAGAAAAGGGTACAATGATAACATATTCTTAGAGAATGGCTTCTAGGATATAGTCTTTTGGCTCAGGTACAGATTTGAATATTGTACTGTAGATGCCACAAATTTTAAATACTGAAAACACCCCAAAACATACACTTTAATGAGTACCACTGTCGTGCTGCTAACCCCACTAATTTAGGAGATTTAAACCAAGGTTTTAACAGCCATTATGGTAAAGTGCTTTGAAACTGTGGTCTGCAATCCTTTAAATAATCAATGTAAATGTCACTTCAGGAAAAAAAAATGAACAAAACCACAAGTTCATCAACACTCATTTGTCAAAGAAAATAGCAGGGGATCAGAGCTATTATGAGATTAAGTGCATGGCCCACTGAGTAGGGTTTTAGATGGGACAAAGAATATAAAAGTTCATTCAACAGTTTTCACACATTTGTTACATAAGCATGACTTTCTGTCATTTACTTATATAAATATACCACCATAGGTTTTTCAATATCCATCATGATTTTTTTTTTCTTGTTACGCCCTAATAATAGATTAACACCTAAGATTCAAAAGGTCAAGGCAAAAAACTGTTCTTGGTTTTTATATGGGACAGTTAAAGATAAAAGAAAATAAATGTTTAAGTCAGTACCTCTTGGGCTGCAAAATTATTGTGGAAACACAGATAAACTGGACAATTTATCCCAAAGTGGCAAAAATATTTACAGCAATGCTTTCTCTGTGTATATGTGTCTACACATATATTTTTTCTAAATCTGTATCAAATATGTAATTTTGATAAATCATGTACTAAGGAGTCAAAGAAAAGAAAACAAAATGAAACCTATGTAAAAGGATAATTTGTAAAATCTTATACAAATTTTGTTTGGTAACTATGGCCAACACAACTAATAAACTAAGAACTGTTGCAAAACAACAAGATAAGAAATAATTACTTTGGCTAAAACATCAATTCAGAATAATAATAGTCCTACACTGTCATTTTAACAGTCTTTTCTATTGAGTCCTTGGAGGGATTATTTGCATTCCTCAGGTATTCTATTGTACAATTCAGATGAATAAAGACTTACAAATCATTCCTCTACCGCCAGTGTGAGACTTTGATCCAGTGAATACACCATTGTACCTTAACTATAATTGGCAAAAAAACCTGACAGTGTAGAGCATCACAAGCTTAATAACAAAGGAGAATATCTCAAAGTGTTGACAGATGATCTTCATAATGCAGAAGCAGAGCTGGTACATTTTAGCAATAAATGAGCACTGAGGTCTAAAGGTCTCCAAAGTGACTGACATCAGACCTGCTACAGCCTCCCTAAAAGAATATGGTCTAGTAGCACTCTCTGTAAAGTGACTTGGGTTCTTCGCCTACAAGCTTTACTTTTGTGACTTTCACTGTCATACACACAAAAAAGGAAAGATAAAAAGTGGGTCTTTGACTATATGTTTTACTTCTGTGACTTTTACTGTCAAACAAAATTTTTAAAAGATATATTGAAAAATTTCCTAACAAGGCCTTTAATTGCATGTACAAATAAGCATGTGTTTATACTCAAGCAAATATGATTTTTAAAAAAGGCAGATAAACACTATTTTAAGAGCACATGATGAGTGGTACATCATGTATCTGATAACTGAGCTAGCTAGAATAGGGTGTTTAGTAAGTAAGGTCAAGGCGACTCATTGGTTTGAACCTCCAAGAGGCTAGTTAGTTGTAGCAGACAGGGAAAAAAATCTGTTCTAGGTCTCTATTCCTAACTTCAGTCACTGACTGGTAGGATGAATTTTGGTTGACTTAAATACATTAAATACATTAAAACTAAGAAAAAACTAGAAAAAAATTTCAAAGCTCATGCCTAATAGTGGTTGGATAGTATCACCACATATAAAGATCAGAAATATCAAGGTAAAATAAAAGTAATTGTATTTCTGACCTTCCCCAAAACTATTTGCCAAAGTAAGCTAAATTAGAAAATGAAAAACTAGAAAAACAGTAGGAAACCAAACCTGCTAAAAACACCAGGGCCTTTATTTTTATTGATTCTCTGAATTAACCCAAATGAAATAATGTTCTGTCACTGCTTATATATGACATCAGGTAAGTCATTTCACATTTCTGAATCTCAGTTTTTTCAAGGGAATTATAATCACATTTATGATTCCACATTATCCTTTTCCAACTAGGAACTACTTTTTATTTTCTCTACACCTTATGATTAACAGTTGGGGAAGGTTGTGCTTTGAGAGCATGAGTCACTGACAAGGGGTTGTGGAGGACTGTTGTTGGCTTTATTCCTAGTTCCCTTTGGAACTAGGGGAAGAAGGTGTAGCAGTGGTAACCATTTTGGACATCTGTCAATTAAGAACTTCCAAGATTAAATGACTCATTCATCATTCATTCATTCATTCATCTTTTCATTCAAATACTTATGGCAAAGCATTCACTATATTAGGCACTGGGAGAAATGCAAAGACAAAGACAATCCCCAGCTTCACATTTTTTAACAGAGGGGATATGACAAATATATAAATATGCAAAAAGTATACATGAACTATGAAACAATTATAATGTAAAATATAAAATGATACAAAATACAAAGTGGTATACAGGATCCAAGAAAAGAGAATTTCTCATTAAGAACTGATGAATATTAATGACATTTCTTAAAGAGCATGATTCAGAAAATATAAAATGTCTTTTCCTCCCATTTCTACTTTTTCCTTCATCTATAGTTTTAATATACCCCCTTTACTATACTTGCCCCTGAAGATGAGCTGGTCACATGGCCTCCTATACATTGGGTGGCCTCTGCAGTGAACTTTTGGTATGCTATGGACAAAAATCTCACAGGGCAGGAAGGCATCAGTGTGTCGTTATGTGCATTGCTGGAGAGAACTCCTGAATCAATGCAATCAGAGAGTATTTGAGTATCCCCTCTTCATGCCTCATGGAAGAAGTCTTTCCTACTTAAAAATTTGCTGTCATCACAGTATAGAAGTATAGAAATGGGAGTGTTTAGAGTTCACATAATTGAATCCACTCATTTTACAGAGGAACAAACGGGCTCAGAAAAGTCATTTGTTCAATGTCATGCAACAAAACAGTGGCAGGACTGGGAGTAGAACACACAGGTGAACGATCCCCTCATCTAATGGGAAGCAGAAAGCTACAAAGGAAAGAGTATTAGATTTGGAGTCTGAGAACTTGGATTCCAATTCCAGATTTACCACTTACTTGATGTGTGACCACATGACCTTTCTGAACCTCATTTCTTCAACTGTAAAGTGAAGGAATTAGAATCAATGACCCCCAAAGTTTTCTTGTAGCTCTCAGTCTATGATTTTTTCCATTGTAACACATCTGCCTTTCTCATCAGTTGACTCTACATCTTTAATGCTACCATTACCCAATTTCACACAACTAGAATTGAAAATGTAATTATGCTAAGAGTACTGAGTAATGTTTCATTTAATGTGAAATTATAATATAAATAGCAATAATGTGTTAAAATTATTTGAAAAAAATTCTGAACATAGTTTTTCATATTCAGTGTTGTGTTTATATATCCTACATTAACATATCTGTGAACATAAAATATCCCCCCACCAGAATGTAAGCTTCTTGAAGGAAGAAACGGTCTCACTTGCATACCCAGCACCTAGCACATTGTCTGGCATATAATGAGTGCTTAATAAATGCTTGAAGATGGACTGGTGCTATTTTCTTCCTTCTCTTCTCCTTAACAGCAAGTTATTTTCTTTTTAAATTCTGTCTTTACTGATCATTTAAAAAAAGTCACTGCAAGTCTATTTTCCAAACGCTTTTTAATAATAATAATAATCCAACACTAAAATTCCAGTTCTTAAGATTCTACTTATTCTGTGATGCTTTGATATAAGGAAATTTCCAAATCCACCACTAATTATGTGTTACAATTTCTATTAAAACATGTAAAATAAGGGTTCCTTATAACATAGACACATGATAATGATGATGATGACGATGACAATGATGATGATGATGATGATGATGATGATGATGATGATAGCTAGTGTTTATATAGCACCTACTACATACCAGGCTAAGTGTTTTACAAATACCTCATTTGATACTCAAAACAACCCTGGGAAGTATAAGTTATTATTATATCCATTTTAGAGCTGAGGAAACTGAGGTTAAGTGAGTTGTCCAAGGTCACATAACT